ACAGATTATCACGGTCATGCTAGCAGGTAGAGTTTCATGTAGGTGAACACAGAGAATTTGACAAAAAAGAGACCGTTTCCTTCTTGTTATGTTCAGTTAATCTGCAAAAAATTTTGGCTCTTCGTCTTCGCCACTCCAATTTGTTGCTTTGCAATATTGTCGTATAAAATCCATTTATCATTTATTATCTGTTCGATCCAAGCTGTCGCTCGTCTGCGGTGAAGGAGAATACCCATATCTTGACAAGAGCAGGAGTCACTCTTGTTTCAGATAATGAGGAACAACCATCAAAAGCTTGGCTCTCTCACTATGCCCTCTCAAATGTTAGTAAACGATCGAGGAAGTACCTGTCACTTCCAAAAGAGTTCTCAGGCTATATGCCTGCTGTCCTCGAATTCAAAGTATCGCTCCTGATCCGTCTTCGAAGAACGTGCGCACCTATCGTGTCGTCAACGGATATCCTCTTTTTATTAAACGGACTATAAGCAGGTGACTCTAGAAGGGGTATTCGCTCCCAATATCTGATGTATGGCTTCGTCGCTTCGCTAGCTAAATTTTGTAAATAAAAATTTGATGAAGGTGGTGACAGTGGATATTTCTGGTCAACATTTTCCCGTGAGCTCAACCGTCATCAAATGGATAGTTGGTTGCATGAAACGCTCAATGAAACTTGAAAATGCTTACGCTACTCTTTACTATGATTCATTTGGTTGGTTTTTGCACTTCCAGTTACAATTAAAAAATTTCTTTGGTCTCAGGACTTATTGGGCACCCTTATGGTACTGCATGAGAAGGTTGGTAGCAAAAAGTCTATTTTGTTTTGCTATAGCTGTCTTTAGCTATCTATTCCACTAAGTGGTTTCTACTCACTAAGTTTGAAGTTGTATAGTGTTTCAATAAAGAATTCATCAGTCGACCTACCCTTTCTTCAAGTATCTTAGGAGTTTTCCCTAAGCAAATGGATGTTGATGCAATCATCGTCATGGGCGTGAGTGGATGCGGTAAAACAACCGTAGGTACCCAGATAGCAAAACACTTAGGATGGACTTACAAGGATGGAGATGAATTCCATTCTGATGCGAATATAACAAAAATGAGCTCTGGTAGGAGAAATTCTCCTTTTTTGTGGATTTTTTTTGATCTCATAGTTATAGGCATTCCTTTAAACGATGAGGACCGTCGACCATGGTTAACAGCGATAAACGACTATTGTAAATCTCATCCGAAGGTCGTTGTAGGATGTTCTGCGTTGAAGCGAAAGTATAGGGACATGTTGAGAAATGATGTACGCTGCAAATTCATTTTTCTGAATGTCAGTAGGTAAGTAATTGCGGTATTTAGGAAGATTAAATCTTCCTCTGTTTACAATTTTATTATTCTAGAAAAGAACTGGAGCGCCGTCTGCAGTTGAGAAAAGATCACTACATGCCCAGCCATCTTTTGGATAGTCAGCTAGCAACACTAGAGCCTCCTGGAGCAGATGAGAATACTCTAACATTGAACATTGAGAATGAAGCTCCCATC